AGATCATAAGAAGCTAAGTAACTTTAAAAGATATTGTACGATGATTTCAGATAACGTAAACGTAAATTATAATGATAGGTACGAAACTGAAGCTATGGTGAGTGTACTTACTCAATTGAACAAGTCTCCAGAGTAGGGACGGTCAGGCTTGTGACGGTAACTGCTGGGTCCGCGGAGACAACGATGACGTCCTCTTCGACATCCGAGCCGTCTGCGTCGTCGTGGTCCAAGGGCTGCGTCTGGTCCTCGCTGTCGGCGACATCACAGGGGTCGTCAGGGTCGTCCTCTGTGTCAGTTGGCGGAGTAGCTTCAACTTCCACCGTAGCTTGCTCCAACAAAACTGGGACCATTTCCTCGTCGTCCATCTCGCAATTAGTGGTTGATGGAGGCTTCATCAGCGACACTTGGATCCGGTGCCTCAGATTCTGGCGAAACTTTGTAGCTGACGGATTTCGGTCGAACCCCCCTCTTTGTCGGCACATCGAAAACTCGTTCTCAATTGCATCTTGGGAGAGACGATTTGTCATCAGAAACGTGATTCCCTCGGCATGCAAGATTTCCCAGAGCTTTAACACTGCATTTATTGTCTGCGCAAAGCCATGAAAACTAGGTGGTTTACTAAGTTTTCGGACTGTGCTCCCTCTGACTTTCTTAACCTTCTCTACTTGTAAGTTCTCGATCCATCTTAAAGCACTGAGAAGCTTTTCTTTTACCAACTGTCCTTGTTTGGTTGTTTCAGAAAGCGCACACCGAAGAGGAGTGTTGTCAAACAGTAGTTTGCTGTTCAAACAGTCGAAAACATCGTTAAAATTGCCAATAAATTCTGCTGTTTCCATGGCTTCCTTGGGTAGTTGATTTGTCTGTCCAGCGGTTGTCATGGCGGCCTTCACCGAACGACTGAAAATTTGTGTCGCCAGTTTAACTTTCATTTTATCAAATGCATTTGGTGAAATGTGCTTTGATGTTAGCTTGACTAGTGCACGAGCAGTAGTTGACGCTGAATCTATCTCATACAGCTCTTTGATGTGCTGCCACGAGGCCCTTCCATTTTCAAAAAGTATATTGTTTTTCATCAAATTATTCCTAATGGATTTAATCAGATGTGGAGGGTCATAAACAACAAAGATCTGTTTATTTTCGTTTAAGAAAAAAGGCTTTTCTTTACTAACTCCCAGGAGATTTGCAGCTTTCACATTGTTGTTTCCCTGGTCACAAACAAGAGCACGTATATTTAATCCTGTTCTGCCCACCTCTCGAACCACGTCAACAATTATCTTTGACAGCAAACTACCTTCAGTTGGTGTTCCACTCAGGTAGTACGCAATGGGCATTTTCCATTTGTGGAATATGCCGCGTACCATAAACATTAGTACATGTGTTGCGACGCGTGGAGATCGCCCGTGGGGTCCTAGGTCTTCAAACCCCTCTACCAAATCACGCTTTTCATTAAACGTCAGGTGTTTTTTGATGACCATTTTGTCGTATATTAAAACCACTTGTTTTTCATTGTCGTTCATGGTCGTTGCTTTGAACTTCATTTTATCAATAAGATCTTGGGAAATTCCAGGCATAAGGTCGATGACATTAACCCAACTTGATATTGTACGACGACTTGGCAAAATAAATTGTTTGTCGGTTATCAAGTTGGTGTATAGTGCTGGTGATCTGTAGTGGAGTTCTACAGCAAGCTGCTTCTCCTTTTCTGACCATTGCGTACCCCTTGTATGCAACATTTGCATTTTCAGTAAAGTTTTAAAAGGTTCGCTTGATATATAACCACAAGCGGTAGAATAAGCCTTATGTTTTGATATACGTTTTAGCTTTTGTCGCCGGGACTTTTCAGAAATTTGGTGAAGTTTACGTTTGCTTTTAAATAGTCTTTTTTTAAGTTTTATTTTCCTGGGCGTATCTGGAGATGCGTGACTTATCAACTTACTTCTTGTGACCGGGGTGTGAACGGCTGTGGGCGCTGATTCTGTCATCGAGCACAGCTTCATTCTTTTGGCAAGGGATGTCGGTGGCGGAGGCAAGAACTGGGGTTCTTGAGACAGAGGCGATGATGACTGTGGTGGTGACGTAGGCAGGAACGGAGATTGTCCAGGCAGAGGTAGCTGTGGCGGAGGCTGTAACGCGAGTGATGATGGACCAGCCCCAACGTGCATCTGTCGTTGTCGGTCGATCCAAGACAACGGCGGTTGACTGTCGGGATCATCAGCTGTTGTTGAGGCTGAGGTTGTTCTGACGACCGTTTGGTGTACTCCGAGGTCTGGATGCACTTCGGTGTCTTGAATAAACAAAGTAGGCACTGCGTCTTTTCTCAATTTACTACTCTTAGACGGGTTGTTGAAGCATAATGGCTCAAAATGTTTCTCGCAAACAACCCGAGACCTGAGAGCAGATAGGGGCAAATCTATAAGCTGGCTGTTAGCACAATTGATAACCCAACGATCACATACTTCCGGATTTCTTACAGGGAATTTAAAAAATCGCAATCCATCTTTTGGTTGAGATGACGTACATGATAAAAACGCACACTTTTTGCTTCCGCCTGACATATCTAAAAGCACATTGCAACTAGTTCACTAAAATCCTGTACAGAACTTAAAAAACTAATAACGATACGTATTTAAAAAAAACTATCACGAGGCACATGTATACTAATAAAAACTAATGTTTAACGAAACTACTGCGACTACATAGAGGCTAACTGAATTGAACCTCTTCAGTCCACGTCCGGCACAACACTAACACAAGAATCACCAAAAAAATGCCCTAGGAGTGGCCAAACTCGTGCAGAAGTGTGAATTGACTTGGTTGATTTACAACATGCCATATAGTTGTATCGGTGTGTCATCCCCATGGACGGTGGCGAGTCACGTACTCCGAACCACCCCGACCGAGGCGGGTTGGTGAAGTGAAAACTCGTCTCGCCTTTGATGCCGCCGGCCGTTTAACAATGGACGGAGGTTAACAAACCCCGTAAACATTATGGATGAAAAAGTTAAATACAGGATCTGTTTATGTGCACATCCTGAGTACGGAATCAACGTTTAGTAAAATGACAATTCCACATTCATTTCTAGATAATTATAACCGATTTTGTCTTACTTTCACTCATTTTTAACTTGTCTTATAACTTGTCACTCTGCACTTGTATGATACCACTAAAGTATATTTGTTATAAGTACCACTAATATAAATACTATTGATAAATTTAGTTTTTAATTATAAACCACGTGCAAAAACATAATGTTGCTAGTTTAAAAACCCCGATATAGTGTCCGTAGTCACAATGTTACTTATGTTTAATTAGTTAAAATTTATCTGTTCAATGAAAAGGAATGTCTTGGCAGGTGGGTGGTGACATTCCATAATTTAAAAAAAATTTTCTGTACCAGATTTTGTGTCATATTTATTCAAATCTTCAAAATAAAACATTTCTACTTTTACTCCAAACTCTTACCCTTTTTTGTGTTAAAATGCGCACAGTTTTAATTTAAAATACCCCTATCGCAGCAAACCTGCTGACGAAGCAAAATTTAAATTTCCCTAATTGGATTCGCACTAAAAAATTTCCATAAACAAAACAAATTTATTTCCCAGTTCGAATAACCTAAGATTTACGATTTAAGTGATTAGGTTTGCTGGTATGGGATAAGTAACAATTGTTTCTCTACAAAATTTTTAGTACAGGATGAAATAAATAAGATTTTCAAAATGTTGGGCAACATATTATATCCATAAACAAGCAAACTGCAACAGTTTACTTAATGACATACGAATTTTAAATTTACAATTTTTGGAATTGAAACTCAATCTCATTGAGTTTCTCACGCCCTAAACCTTTAACCCAAATTCCATGAAAATCAGGACAAAATTAATCGCGTTCACGTACAAAGAAATGCATATAACAATTTGAATCAATAGCGTTTTTAGCCTCTGTGGACATAAAAATTAAAATGTTAATCGGTCCCGGGCCTAAGTCCTACCGTGCTACCTCAATAGCTACTGTACTTCCTTATAGGGAAATTCGCTAGAAATCTAAATTTGGTTAGGTGGAAATGAAAATAAAACGTATGGACATTCTGAATTTTTAACTAGAAAAGTAAACAAACAAAGGTAAACAGAGTTTTGTTGCGTCTCAACCAAGTAAATAATTAAATGTTATTATAACATTATTATTAATACAGTATTATAAATAAATAACAGAATATCAAATAAATTGTATATACTGTAGTTCGTTAACATTTCATGCGTACAATAAATATAGCATACTAATTCAGTTAGGCCTAATATTAAAATTAATTAATTAGGTCTAACATTAAAATAATACTTCATTCACATAATATCCACTAGTATAGGTATTAAATATTTATTAATTTAATAATATAAATGGAGTAATAACATTTTTTAACGCTAACACGCACACTGCGAGGTTAAAAAATCAAGCAACAGACACAGTAAACTTTATCCATGAGCCGGGAAGCGGGCTCTCGAAGTTGCGTTGGGCATGTACAATGGGAAACAATGCCATTGTTTGCGCTTCCGTTGGTAACGCAGATTGTAGGGCTCGATATTGCCGCTAGGAGCAGCACACTACTAGGCTATAAAAACGCCCACGATAAACTCCATATGGCTGTCTATCTCATTATATTACTTCATCTATGCTATTATTATGGAGAACATTTTACGTTATATCTAATTTTGTGTTAAAATTTGGGGAATTTAACTATTTTTCCCGCCGTCACGGGATCAAGACCTTTAATTTGAACCCTCTCCCGTCATTCTGCGACTTCCCAGTCGCCCACAATTTTGACGCAAAGAATCGGCTTACGTAGCCTAATTAATTTATAGATTATAGCCTATCTAAAAGAAAAAAAAAAAAATAGATTTGTCTTTAACACATTAACACTTAATTAGTTCATAGTATACAGGTAATGTATCTAGACACTTGGAATGGTAAAGTATGTTCTCAGACAATTCAATCTATGTTAACTAACCGTCTTGTTTGACATATGCTCCCATGACAGACAGCACTGACGACAACCATGCTAAGTCTTCGGCAGCCTTGGAGAGAAGCAATGGACTGTCAGATGACACTATGTGATTACTGAGGACTAGAGAAAACACGTTGAAACATGACAGTATACTGTGCTTCTGTTGTCTGTAACAAAACAAATGGAAATAATTTTTTGGAACACTGAAGCAAACTTTACTCACTGCAGCAAACATAGTTGTTTTGGTTTTATAACGTATTATGTTGCAAGACTTAAGTTCACGGAGAAATAAAAAGAAGTAGATTTTACACTTTTTGTTAAATTTTACAGAGAAAAAGTATAGGCCTACCACTGTTGAGGTTTCCTTGTTAATGTTTATGGATATATTTTGATCAAACTTGGCCAATTTAATTATTTCGTACCAAGCTATTTACATTTCACTTAAAAAACACACATTATTACCTTCACTGTATCTACAAAATCTAAGTAGGCTACTCGTTATACGTAATGTTATTTAAATAGGGAATAAAGCTTACATGTTTACGGAAATATTTTAGTGAAAATCCAATCAGGCAAATAACAATATGTTTAGTCTGCAGTTTTGCTGCGTTCTGTGTTGTACCTGTCTACGATGTCGTGTGCTAAGTGCATGATCTGCAGCTGCTCCTGCTGTAGTGATCGAGACACATACTTGACTTGGCCTCCAGACATCTGCCACACGTACTGGTGTGCTGAGATGGGCTCACAGAAGTGAACATAGACATTGCCGTACCTCTCATCCAGCATGTTGATGCCTTTGATCAGGCCCTGTTATAACATAATTTAAATTACATTTGCACTGCTAGTGTGTAAGTGGATGAATGTGAATTAGAACTTATCTTTCCCACATTAGTCCCCTTGTGTTTTATGTTTTATGACAAGTATACAGTTGGCAAGGGTTGATTGATACTGAGGCATTGCTGTGTAAGTCTACTGTCTAATGTTTGTTTTCAGTCACACTGCTATTACAAATGGTCAAAAATTATATTTTTCCCCATTGCAAAAGGTCTCATGATTATTGAGCCTAGAAGTAACTAATTGACCTAAGTTTAGCCCTGAAAGATTCTTAAAACACTACTGATTAATTGTCGTAACAAACTAGCTTGATAACTTTGTGTTTCAATTAGAGAATATGGGTCAAACATATTAAAAACACTGCACCATCGGAAGTGAACAAAACTTTCTTCTCTTTCAAACACATTTTGTACTCAATTGACTCAGTATTGTATGATAAATGTCTCGATCATGCGATAAACAGGCATGTTTCTTCCAATTTCATCAGACACAAAACGTGTCTTACATGATGTCAGCGACAACAGTGTGTAACCCGCCTAACTGTAATTAAAAAATAATTTGAAGTCTACTTACCGATGTTGATTCTTTTGGTTTGGCAATACCCAGCATTTCATATGCGAACAATACTTCTTCAAGTGTTCTGTCATAACTAATATTAACAGGAACTATAGTGATATCTGGGACTTGACCAGAATAAAATGCATCCATGACCATAGTCAACAAACCTAAAAGTAATTTTACGTCATTAACAACTTTTCATTATCAAGGCATTTTGTGTAGCTGGTGGTTGGGTTGATTTTAAATTTAAATTAATTACACAAACTATTTTTTGTGTTTTAACAACTTCTGAGTAGAAACCAGAATGCTTTTGATAACAATTTAAGTTTTTACAATAAATCAATCAAAGCTAACAAACAAAGATCATAAGGTAGCAAAAGGAATGTAAATAATCCAACTTAATTAAAAACTATAGTAGATACTAGCGTTTCACTACTATTTTTTTAACACTTAAAAGGCAAGTCAATTAGTTTATTTGAATAAATCTATGTGATTCAAGTTTGGTCACTCATCATCCAATCCTCCTGCTACATCTCTTGTCAGGTTCACTACAGCCAGAGGCACATTTACTGCTTATTGGCTGGGTCAGATTTGCCATGGAAGAGGCAGAATGTTGGCTATGCAAACCGAGATTTTGGAAGTCTTCTAAGGATTATGTTTTGTTAAACAAAACGGTAAGAATTAGAAAAAACTTAAGGGGGACATTCCTTAATCTTTTGTGACAGTTAAAAATATGAATTGAGTTTTTTGGTATTCAGCCGCCATTTTCAAATATGGCGTCTAACTTTGAAATTTCTCATAGAACACCCTATATTTTATCATTTTTCTGGATGGAACATGCAATTTAAAAACTTTTTTATTTTTTTTTATATGAGTCTATGAAAAAATGACTTCCCAAGCAGGCCTACATTTAACATCATGTAGCCCCTAAACAAATAAGTTTCGAGCAAAAAAGCGAGAAGAAAATAAGTCTTAAAATTGCATTTACATTCCAAAAATACCACAAAACGCGTAAAAAATATTGATATTATTAGGTATTTGAATAATTTATAAATAAAAATACTTTTTAAAAACGTGGCATTTTATTAATTTATAAATTATTTTCTACTTTTTAGTCTTAAATATGTAAATATGTAATTTTTTTTAAATTAAGGAATTGAGGAATTAACAAATAATTAAGGAATGTCCCCCATTTAACGTTTTCTCTAATTCCTAACGTTTCCGATAACCCAATGGTGGCCTCCTTGAGTTGATCACCCTGTATACGCATCTGATACATCATGGATTGGTGTGGTAAAAGAAAGATAAACCAATTTGTACATAGTTTGTTAATAACATACCATACTTTGGTGCAAGAGACTTGGAAGATCTACTTCTTGTTCCTTCGATGAAGAATTCAACAGGAGCTTCTCCCTGGGTGACTAGTTTATTGACATACTCATCAAACACTGTTCTGTAGAGCTTGTCATCACCAAACGACCGCCTCATGAAGAACGCACTGCAGTCTCTCAGTAACTTCCCCATCAGCCACATGGAATGGAAATCTGCATATAAGAACCACACATCAAGGGATCATCTAACTGGATAACAATTGATTCTTCATCTCCTTAAATGAGTACATTTCATTAAATAATAAATATGTAACATAGCCTATTGTCAAACGTCATTAATGTCCTGATGATGTTGAATCTACATGTAGCCTATACAGTAGCCTATGTCTTGTGATTATTTAACTAGTAAATACAATCGGATTGGACGCCAGATAAGCACAAGTAGGCCTAAGCCTATTTATTTTTGTTGACTATAATCATAATCATTAGAAGTGTGTAATAGCTATTTACCTAACCCGCCATGTTAAACTTCCCTATCCCAAGCGTGATGTATACAATTTCCTTACTTCTCGAGTGATGTTAAGTATGAAAAACTCACTCGGTGATGTAAAGAAACCCATTTAAATAACATTGATTGCTTACCTAACTTAAAAAATATACCTCTATGGAGCCAACGACATTCAACGCTAGAAACCAGCTGTGCGCTTGAATGTTATTGTTATGCTTTAAAGTATTTTCTTAACCTAGCTTTTGTTCGTAAAAGAACGTTACTGTTAGAAGATGAGTGAAATGGATAATGAAAAATATTGTACGTAAACCCATGTATATTGTCGGGTCAGGTAAAATCTTGTACGTTACACGTTACGCAAGAGCGTGTTTACATCACTTAGTGAATTATACAACCTGCGTGATGTAAAAACGCTCTTACTACACTTGTGAATTTTTTAAACTTTACTTCACTCGTGAAGTAAAGAAGTTGTTTACATTACGCTTGGGATAGGGAAGTTTAACATGGTGGGTTGGGTAAAATAACTTATAAAAATTTTTTAAATTAACACCAGCTGATTCTTTAGCCAAAATTGGAGATCAATGACAGCAGAGTAGTCCTGTTCCAGCCTTCCAATATGTAGTAGACTTTATACAATGTAGAGATAATTCTCATCATAACCAAAAACCAAGAGATATACTCAAGTCTAATTCAAACTAATTGGGACCGAACCGTGTCAGGATCAACTGATTGATCGGATTAGCCGAAATAATTTCAATACAGTAGAACCATTGACTACTGGATATTGAAGTAGACATCCCATCTATATGGAACAGCTGTCACCGATTTTTGATTAAAACAGAACATAGTTGTGTGAGCCAGTCACAGAATGTGCTACAGTCTAAAATACTATTTTCTCCCTTATCTTGGGTTGCCGACCAAATTAATGGGCCATAACAGTTGCTATAGTTCACAATAAGGCGTTCCATCAGTTTGACTTAGTGAAAAATCTTGTGTATTTCTCAGAACCAGAGACCACAGATGATAAAAACCATGGTTAATCCAACATGGAATAAAATTTACAACAAACACAAAAGACTATGTAATATTGTGTAAGTAGGCTATACATTAATGTCATCATTAATTGACTCAAGGCACTCCAGTTAGGGGAATTTTAATAAATTGTTCAAAACACTCACCCATTCCAGCAGCCACACAGGGAATGTCCACACTGTAGTGAAACATCACAAAGGCCATGAGGATAAAGTCTGCGTAACTTCTGTGGCTCGGAACAAATAGTACAGGATTGGTTCCCATCTCAGCCTTTAACTGATTACCAAGCAGGGTTAGTAATGAAACACACATGACAAATCCTTAACTTAACACCATAAACATATACTCATTTCAATTCAACTTAGTATGGGAGATAAATATCAAGGTAAAGTATTTATGTCAATAAATGTTAGTCAATATACAAGAAGTATCTCATGCGTTTCCGGTTAACAGTGTCCTCAATCCAGCGTTCAACGTATTTTCAACGTTTTTTAAAGGCTCGGTCCTATCTGAAGAACTATGGGTGATCCAAAGTGGCTTGTAGTGGAAATGTAGATGGAGTATGGCGAGTGAAAAATATCTGTGTATTTGATTATCCTATAGCTCAAACAAATTACAGGATTTGAAGAGAGTTACAAGTTTGATGAGTTTTACCACTTATAAATAGGAGAGTTTCACAGATTAGAAGTTGTTTATTTTCGGCATCACAAAAGAGTGCTATTCACTGTACCTATGAAATATAAGGCAGAACTGACAAGGCACTAGTCACCCCTCTATCCTGTCACTTGCGTGACCAAAGACAAACATATGTTGATCTGAGGACGCTCGAGCAATGAGAAGCTCTGATCATGTCAATTGCCCAGTTAGAAAACGCTTATGCCTTCTTATGTGTTGGTTGGTTTTTGCTGTCATAATGTCATAAGCATGACTTTGGTCAACCCAACTAACTAGGATGGAGCCTTGAAATGCATATGTTTATTGGTCAGTTTAACTTGTATCCTTACCTGCAAATATGTTTTAAAAGTTTGCAGATTGATGATATTGATCCTTTAAAATATAGATCTTCAAGAAAAATAAGGCAAGAACTACAAAAAAGGGAATATGATAATTGGGGCTCCCTTCCATATAAAAGACGAGGTGTTATTCTTTTTTAGGAATACTCTGCCCCCAATTGTGCTTTACACCGAATGGAAGGAATAACTACGTCTGAATATATAGAAGGATTGAAAATGATAGGTGATGTGGCACCAGTGAGGTCAAACCCGGGCAGATCCAAGATTGCTAACCAGTGCAGGCGTTACTCCAGCCCTGAGAATTACACTATTGAGTCTTTGCCAAATATCCTTCTTGGGCTCTATCCGTTTCGAGAACTTTTGAGAAATAGTAGGCATCACCTTATCAGGAAAATGTTAGCAGACTCATTTTGTGAACTTAAGTTCACTGTTTACGAAGAAGTACCATGCGTAGCAGAAGGTCGATCTCAAAGAAGAACAAACATTTTAACATTTAATAAGGAAAGAAGTAATAGATTTATTATTGACCCAACCACAAGATTCAAATTAAGTCAAGAACAACCATTGGAAATCGATGCAAAAAAATTATATATGAGCTGACAATTCCATTTTTTTAAGAAAAATTAACTTAAAAAATATTAAAGTATTTGGTTTCTTTATTGGATCAAGAGGGACCATTACAAGTTTTTTTATACATTATGGAAAAGATTTAAATTGGACAGAAATACTCTAAAGAAAATGTCCATTGTGGCATTAAAAACTTCAATATCAATTCTACAAAATCATTTATACTCCAATTGATTAAGATAAAAATTATTGTGTCATTTTATTAGTAAGAAATTTTTTTTGTTTAGCCTAAATTTTTGTTTTTTATCCTTTGTGTTTAGCAGCTTGCTTGTGATAGAGCAAGAAGGATGTTTAATTTATTAAATAAATTATCTTTATATCACTATTCTTTGGTCGTGAATATTTCTTTGCAAGTTTAAGAAACATATAGTTTTTATTAATTAGAATAAAGCTATTAAGTCTTTATGTAGGTACCATTAATTTTGAAATATTTTTTATTTGAGATCCTACTAATAAATATGTTAATTTATTGCATTACTTGTAAAGAAATAAAGACTTAGGCCTATAAGTTATTATTTAACAGAGACCTTAACAATAGCATAAACAGAAATAATCTTATGATTAAAATAATTTGCATGCTAAGAATTACAAATTTGAAATAAATTGAGTACCATTTACCTAGGACTAGTTTTTGATCATGCAAAGGGAAAACCTAAAATAACATACCCACAACTTAAGTTATTTAAAACCTGTATCTATAAAACTACAAGATTCTAACAGAATGGTAACCAAAGCTTCATTTCCTTAAATACCAACCTTTAACAGTCGCTCCTCATTGACATATAAAGCTGACATTGTCCTCTTCATTATTTTTAGAAGTATATAGCCTAGCCATCGTACGATAGGCAACTGCTTGGAACAGCTGATTTCTTCCAAGATGCTCTCTACCTCTTGGTAAATAACCTTTTCTTGAACATTTCTCTCTTTAGCTTCCTGTAAAATAATAGATTTTTGTATAATCACTAACTTGGTAGCAGAGTAGAGACTATTAGCCAGTTAAGCACTGAGAAGGTTTAATTCTGTACTGACACCTCACTGCTAAAGATCTTATCATTAGCCTATTGAATAGGAATTGATTAAAAACAAACTGGATGTTACAGAATGCTTAACAACATTAAAATACAATAACAAAAATAGATAATATTAGTGAAGTCAGATGGCTGACTGGCTTTAACTAGTTAGCCTACAGTAGGCTTAACCGACCCTTACGGGAACGGACCTAGAATAACTCAAAAGGTCGGTTAAAACGGGCAATCTCTTAAACTTTTAAAATTTAAGAGCTATTCATTTGGAATTATATAATCATTATTCTGAAGTTGTGCGAGCATTATTACAAAATAAACTTCACTTATATATATCCTCTTTTCTTAAGGATTGACAATAGAAAAGTAAAAAATAAACCCAAAACAAGGTTAAATCAAACACTTTTAGTGTAATAAATAATAGTCAAACACAAGAGTCAATAAAAATTAAAAAATTTTAAATACCTTTAGTAGACCTAATATTAATTGATGCTTTACAAATCTATTGATCTTGGCCAATTTTAACCGACGGCAAAAAAATGGGTCATAGAGCGCTAGCCGACATCAGGCTTAGCCGTGACAACGCTGGTCGTCGCTCAACAGCAGGGATTTACTATACGGGGAATTTTTGTTTGAAGGTTGGCAACAGCCACGTGTTCTACCTACCTACCTGCTCGCCGTCGACGAGCCCCAAAACAATAGGATGACGTTGCGGGTTGGGGGCTAACAAATTTAAATTTGTTTAAAAAATAAAGTTGGAGGAACAACTAGCTATTATAGGAGTCGGGATGCCATCATACCAAAAAATAATAAAATAAAACGTAAATGTTTTTGTTTTAATGTGATTGTAATGTAGATGCCATAGATTATTATTTTTATTGAGAAACAAATAAATATTGATTGTTAGTAATAAGTGACTAGTGTACCTGTTGCTCGAATTCGAGCAATTGCTAAGTAATATTTACGCCAACCCAAATTCAAATAGTAAATATGTCATTTCAATTTCAACCAAGTCAGTAAATGTTTGTAGCAAACTCCTCGTTCACACCACCACCCCTGGCTTAGACTTAGGCTATTTGCCAGGCCAATTCCCCGTGAAAACCTTCTTTCTTTTTAGGCTTCTGCCACTTTCAATCCTCGTCCAGATACATTATGTGTCTAAAAGCCTAACTGCACGACTCCCTTCCCCATACCGTCCTGAGCGATAGGGATCATTGAGATTCGCTCAACCTTTCCTCTCCCCTTCATGGGCAAGTTTTCCCTGATGGAATTCCAAAGTTTTTTTGTTTAATGGCAAAACTACATGCTAAGACCTTTCTAACGACACCTTGAACATGGTGATCGGTAGCACCACCGCTCCGAAACAGTTATGACAAAAATATGCCTAGCGTATTAAATATATAGATATGAGAATATTTCATTACAGTACTTACTGTGTAGAGGAGTGGAACCAATTTCAAAATCAGATGGCAGTAGACACCCTAGTTAGTGTTAATAGTTCGCGCTCTTTTCAATAGGACCTCAGCTCAGTTTACTATTTTTGTCATAATTGGGTGAAGTTTATCTGTCTGCGCCCAAGTGCGGATAACCTCGTACTTGTGAACCCGATTTATAAGCCGCTGCGCAAACTGGTTAGGCTATAACTAGGTAGGCCTATTGCGCTCAGACTTAAGATAAACCGTGACTCGTGAACCGCCTCTTAGTTTTACAGGTAGGTACCGTACAGCGATGGTAAAATTCAGCAGAAATTCTAAGAGAATAGAACTTATAAGACTTAAGCAGTGTACATAATGATCATTGATTGTTAACAATTAAATTTTAATTAGATGTCATTAACTTACACTAAAATTTTGATTTTTAGTACCTTATGCTGCCAAATTTACTTCATTTCAAGTTAAAGTGCCTGCCACAAACCGCCTTATAAATAGTATAGCCTTATCAATTTAGGTAGGCCCTATCTTTGATCTAAAAAAGAGAAGAAAAAAAAAATAAAAATGTTGTTATATCCTTATGCCTCAACTGGACTTCGCCGACAAGTTTTTTAATCTTGGCTAGGCCAAGCGGTTGTAATTTCTTTAATAATTTTTTTAATATGAATAGATTAACAAGATCAGGTAAACAATTTTGTAAAAAAATGTTGGAGCAAATACTTATTTCCCAACAAGGGAATTTACTTGATTGATTAATTAATTTATTTATTCATTCCAATGGTTTCTCCATTAGGCCTATGGATACAATTTTGTACTGAAACTAGTTACAAGATGGCTGAGGTTGAAAGTTGTAATGTTTATTAATGCAACAAAAGAGCCAAAACAACATACCTCATTTATTAACCTTAATATTCTTTGACTTTTCAATACTTCTTTTTGTAGATATGAAGGGTTTTTCATATTTTTATTGAGACTATAAGCTTTAGTCCAATTAAATTCTCGGGAGACCCACATAAAATCACTTTCTTCATGTCTTTCTTTTAATATGTCTGTAAATGTAACTGATGGCCTTTCATGGGCTCTAATACACTCCATTGTACACTCCGACAGTTTGAACCTGAAAAGAAGAAAAGTACTAAGTTAAGATCATAAAATGATTAGGCCTTATAAATTAATTTGTTTAAAAGACATTAGTTAAAAACATTAAGTTAAAAATAATGTGTTGATGAGTTCATTTATCAATTGGTAGCACAATAGACTGCAAAACATGTCAGCGATATCAGGGTTTACCAGGGGAAAACACACTTTTTCTTCACATAATTCATTTAGGCTAATGTTGTTTCGTAAGAACTCAATGTCTATAAACTTAACAGCAATCCTTTTTGTAGGCCTACACTGGACAATTGTATATGGATGATCGTTTTGCCTCTAAGTCCCTGAGGCATCATCAGCAGGTGGTGTACAGACCCAGGTTGACACATACTGAACAAAGAAAACATTGTGACAAGAATTTTGTACGTTCGCTTTAACCTGGGACTGTACCTGCTGATAACTTAATGCCTCAAGGACATAGAGGCGAAACAATTATCCACATACAGTGAACTAAAAGATTGCTGTTAAATTTTGGAAGTAATATCGATCTCAATTTGAATCTTATGGTCTTTTGTATTTTTAACTGACTTAAATAGTTCTTACATAAGTTATTTTTACTAGAGTAAAACATGGTTTTCTTTATAAAGGACTGAAGCTGGACCCAACCATCCTTGATCCTTGATTGGGCTTTTATCAATAATTATCCTGGCTAAAACACCAGCTGGTATTAGTCAGTAACAAAGATGTCATCTCTTTCATCCAACACATATTATTCGTTAATCTTCACCTTAACAAACTCTTGATGAGTTAGCATTACTGAAAATATGGTAATCTCATAATAGGCTTACACCGCGTAAGATGATCCTTTAAGCCGTGTTTACAGGAGGCTAGTACCTAAAGAAGGCAGGTTATGCGGCAGGTTACTTGCTTCTATTTTATTTCAAGTTGCCTGGCTGAGGCAAGTAAAGCCGCGTTTACACCGGAGTTTGAAACACGAGTTGCAAACAGAAATTGCAAACATCTCTAAAAACGCACATTTTTAGACGAAACATTTTGCTGTTGCAAACAGTTTTTCAGTGTTTGCAACAGAAATTTTTGTTTCCACTTGAAGTCGGTAAAGATCAAAGGGAGTTGCAAACTCTTTGTTTGCAACACTAGTTTCGGTCAATATGAGCCGTTGAAACACGAAACCGAAACATTTCTCCACCATCCCCTACGCTACCACCTCCACTCTCACTCACGTGATCACTCGCACCAGTGAGTGAGTTTGGATGTGTCTCGACTCAGAAAATTAATCGGAAAAATGATGTTTGTCTGTCAATGAATTACAGACAACACCGACTGGTGAGTCGGTGGCTCAGTCGGTAGCGTCGCGGACTTCGGGCCTAAGGCAGAAGTGTCGTGGGTTCGGATCCTGTTCACTGCCACTAACTTTTATCAGTACGGTTCACCTTTGTACTGGACCGGCTCACCCCTTGCTTTGCTGGATACGTTCCACGCACAGATCTGTAGTCTATGTGGACGGGCAAATGCAAGGTTAAAAAAAAAAAAAAAAAAAATTAACACTAACCTCAAATGACAAGGTCGTCTAATTTAAAAATAACAATAACGTCGCATGTGAATTAAAAGGGTTATAGGCTAATTAACTCCTTGTAATCTTTAAAAATGAATAATAATTTTAATTTGATGATTTATACAATCACCGATGTTCACCCGGCATCGTCTCGGCCTACGTTGCTTTGACAACACGACACACGCCGCCGCGGCTACAATAACATCCTCGACACTAGACATCCTCGGAAGAAACTGATCCGAGGAACCAGAAAGTGGCGAGTCATAATCAAGGTCGAAATTATTTCAAACATTTTAATGAAACATAGAAACAAATTATGAAATAAAAATTGCAAACATTTATTTGCAACTACTGTTTGCAACTGTTGTTTGCAATAAAAGTTTGCAACTTTTTGTTTGAAACTCCGGTGTAAACGCGGCTTAACGTGCACTGCCAACTGGCCTCCTGTAAACACAGCTTTAGGATAACTTAGGGGTTTATGTACCTAAGTATAATTTGGAACAAATGATATGAATTATGTAGTAAACTAACTCTAAATAGGCCTACATTTATTTGACAGGGTTTTAACAGCAATTTCATTAGTGCATGGCGTTTAGATGGTTACAGAATTTGTTAACTTAAATGATAATACACCAGTAGGCCCACCATAACCTCACATATAGTTGCAATGTTTGAGTATGGTACCATTCTGTCTCTTCTACTTCCGCCATAATTTAGAATATTTTCAATTAATCTATATGTAAAAGTAAACATATTTGTGATTGTTGTTTTTACGCCAAAATGCCATTTAATAGGCCTATAGCGATTAGTTGAGACTGATAGTTCAGGCGAAAGCCTAAGTAATAACACCCGGCAAAGGCTGAATATTATTTTAAGAAATCCACAGAATCGTAATCACCATACCTTTTGAATATTATTACTAGTAGAAGACACGAAGGGAGGTATTACACTCGTTTAATATAAACACACAACAGTGAACAAAAATAATACTGAAATATGATGCACAGACAGCCCAAATAAATATAAATATAAAAGGGCGTCTGCTACAACTTCAGGCAAGACCAAGACAACAGAGCCACCAGCCAACCAGAGCTACTCGCGGCTGTGGCGGGACCGAACCGGGAACCCGAACCAAAACCACCCAAAACTCTAAAACAGACGATCTGATTGGTCGGTATGACAGATCCCTATGACATAGAGGAAAGAAAGCTGTTAAATAATAAGTAAGCAACACATATGACATAATACAAGCCAACACCCTGCAATAAATTTAGCCACGTAAAAGTGAAAGGACAATTGCATAATTTTCTTTGGATACTGCACTGAGAATATAGACTTGATTGATTCTGTTTGAAAATCTGAAATCTCTCTATCCGATCCAAAAATCTATCTCTATTCGTATAATGGCCTACACATAGACTAACCAAAAGGAGTATGTTTAATCATAGATAAATTAGTAGATTTGTTGAGTGAGCGAGAGAAGCTCTTATATTACACTCCTGCTTTTGTTTGACAAAGAACCTGGGGACCGAGCTTTGCTCGGGGGAAATCATAAGTTTACTCTGAAAACAGTCTTAAGTAAGTTGCAGATACATTAATCTATTCCCAAACTCCACACTGCTCGCCTTTACTACTTTCTTCACCACTTCCTACGTAGCAGGCCTGTTTCCCTCCCTTCCCATAGTATTTTATGATTGCAGATACTTTAATGTAATCGTCATAAACAGTTCCCACACTCCGGATAGCTCGCATTGACTACTTCCTTAACCACTTCCCTACGTCGCGGACCTGTTTTTCTCCCTTACCATATCATTTTAGGATCGCAGATACTCCAATCGTCATAAACAGATTCCACACTCCGCATTGCTAGCCTTTACTACAATGTATCGAATAATCTTCAGTATAATCTTTGCTCAATAGTAGCAAGTAATGTTTTTCCTTTTGTACTGTATTTTGTAATTTGCTATTATACTGTGGGTAGATGGCTTATTACTTATGAACACATGTGACGACTTAGAAGTCTTTTGTTTGTTTACATTTTCCTTGTTTTTTAATTCGACCAAAACATGGTTACTCAGCAACCCATAAGACTAATGTTAAAAATGTGACTTTCAGTTTCATTTTTCTACCTAATTAGATTTTTGTTGGCAGTTCTAACTGCAGTGGCGTAACAGATTTTTTCGGGCCCCCTTGCAAACTTTTTTTCGGGCCCCCTCTCATGAGTTATTTTTAACCCACCTAATACAACACAATCAAACACCCTTCCCCTCACCATTGCGGTTTTTTGGACCACTGATACAATGATCTAACAGTTGTTTTATCATAAATTGAGTAGTAAATAAATTATGGGTAGGCCTAATGTCATAGATAAAACATACTCCCTGGTTAGTCTATGCTAATGTTTAATAAAAGGCCGTGTTAAGTATTTCAGCCATGGTATGATGATAATGTTACATCATCATTATATCAATATTAGTGGTTGTAGGCCTAAAAAATAGCAATAATTATCCTTTCAGAATGTTTTAAATAAAGGAAGTTTAATATTTCATTTATATAACATTTTATAAATTATTTATTCAGTTAGTTTTTATCAATGGTTATTATTAACTCGTACACTAATGGTTGGTTGATTTTTAAAAAATACGTACTTTTATCACAGGCTATCATATGAAATTGTTATTTTATCTTTGTATGGATTTCAAGCGTTGACTTACATAACAAATAAGTCTTTAACATTGATGAATTCTGAGGTAAAATAAGAAATAGGCTAACACACAAAGTCAGTAGAGTAGCCAAGTATTGTATTTAACCAAAGACAATTAATATTGTAGTGCAAAACTAAAATGTAAAATAGTTATTTGCTAATGCTAATAGAAAATTTTAAATAATGTGCACTATAATAATTAATAACTTCTTTGACTTCATTACCTTAACTTACAATTTACAAATAACTTGATTGATGTTTTGATACCAAAATTACTCACGATTAAAACAAGGTGAGACGATATTTTTTTTAACCACGACCATTCAAAATGTTCTTCACTTGAATATGCTTGAATTTGCTCATTCTTACTGAATTTTGTGAAGCGATAGCAATTAATTAGCAAATATTTTTATAACCTCTTTAAAATCAATCACTCTTGCTGCTTCACTCTCTATACTTAGCCCACTAAGCCTTTCTTGAGACATGGCACTTCGAATAAGCCTATATAGCGTTTTAATCAACTTTAACCTCGAAAACGACCTTTCAGCTGAGGCAACAGCTACGGGCCATGTTAAAAACAAATTGTATGCTGTGCCATATTGGACGCTGCAAGCAACAGATTAGTATTCAATTAATAAAAGTTCACAAATTCCGTTTACTGATTTATTTGTTAACAATTCTGCTTTCAAAGTCCTTCGAAAAGTGAGCATTTAGTGAGGAAAATCTAAAGTGAAATGCTCGTTATATTGAGATGCTAGTTCTGTTGATTTAACATTTAACTGTTCGTCTGTAGACACAATAAAATCTCCGGGATGAGAACAGATACTAATTACATTGTCTATCCCCTAAAATATTTAAGTGATTTGATTTATTACGGTATCTAAAGTGCCATGATATACAACAGTTTTAAAATAATGGCCAGGATCCAATAGGTGTTTGTACTCTGCTAGATGATCGAACTGCTTAAAAATTTTCTTAACCTTAAATGTTAAATTTGTTACCTTAGATCATTATCACTGAATAGCCCTAACAAAATTAAACAATGACTTACTGTATTTAATACAATTAATTATTAAATGATTAATAATCAATTTCAAGATGAATGAACTCCAGTTTTTCGGCTCCACTTGTCCCGTGGGCCTCTCTGCTCGCCGGTTTCCGCTCGCCATTTCTCGCTCAACAGTTCGGGGGCCCCCTCGGCTCCAGGGCCCCCCGCATTGCGGGCCCTTCTGTACACCACTGTCTAACTGCAGTAAACTCGTTTTTAGGCCAGAAACTATTTACAACATTTGAGGAAAATCGTTGAAGCCGTTTTCGAGATCTTTCTGCAAGCAAGCAAGCATACATACATACAAGCAAACATTGCTCATATTAGAGTATAGGATAATCCTCCTGAACGGCTGAAGCGATCTGCACGACATTTATCCCAACCATAGTAACAACCATGGGAAGCTGTATTTTTATTTCAGGATTAGTTTTGCCAAGTGTCATTGGGAGGCTTCTGATTGGCTGAGGGAACACCATTACCGAAACGATACGATGGGTCGACATCGGCCTCGGTGGTCTAGTGGATGGATAGCGTGCCGGGCTGATAATCTGAGGTGCCAGGTTCGAATCCCGAAAAATCGCACCACACAGGGCTTTTCCCTACGTGAATTGAAACTTTTGGAAATTACCATGGGCCTTGTGGGTTAATTGGTTGCCATGACATTATTTGCGAGATAACAGAGACAAATTTAACAAGATTCGCAACATATGTTAGTCAACGAATCATCTAAATAGCACATTTCAAATACCGCATAGAGGAAAGGGGAAGAGCAATCTGATTGATATCATTGAGCATAATTTACTACAAAATGAATAAGTTATAATTATGGTCGCCGGAATAAGGCTGATGCACCTTTGACTTTAAATAATCCAAATAGCCATTCCATTAATTTGAACCGAATATAGGCCTACAATACAATTGAGTTTGGATACTGCAAGTAGACTTTGCATTTATGTGAACTAGACGTACCATTGACTTTGGATACTGCAAATAGGCACTCCGATCATGTGAATCAAATGAACTATTGCTTTGGATCCTGCAAGTACACAATTTATTTAAGCAAACCAAATTTACCATTGAGTATGAATACTGTAAGTAAACAATTCATTTAAGTTAACCAAATGTGCCATTGAGTTTGGATACTGCAAGTAGATTTCCCATTCATGTGAAGCAGGTGTACCATTGATTTAGGATACTGTAAGTAGACAGTTCATTTACGCGAACCAAATGTACTTAATTGAGTTTATATACTGTAAGTAAACAATTCATTTAAGTTAACCAAATGTCCCATTAAGTTTGGATACTGCAAGTAAACAATTCCTTTAAGTGAACCAAATGAACAATTGAGTTTAGATACTGTAAGTAAACAATTCATTTACGTTAACCAAATGTACCATTGAGTTTGAATAGACTACTGTAAGTAAACAATTCATTTACGTTAACCAAATGTGCCATTGAGTTTGGATACTGCAAGTAAACAATTTCTTTAAGTGAACCAAATGTACCATTCAGTTTGGATACTGCAAGTAAACAATTCCTTTACGTGATCCAAATGTAATGTGGGATTATTTTAGCTAGAAGCGGTTAAGGTGTGGTGGAATATGAAATAGTGCTGGGTTCACAACAGACTATTGTATCATTCGGTTGTGTGTCAAAGAATTTTGAACATGTTGTAAGTCGCATCTCTAATCGCATTGCATCGCATCGTACTCGCACAAGCAGCGAAGCGGCATTGGATTGGAGTTGTCTTCTGGGATAGAGCTGGGTACACAACAGACTATCGTATCATTCGGTTGTGTTTCGATTGTTATCAGCTGAATGTCGATTTCGTAATCGTCGCGTCGCGTAAATATTAAAAATTTCAGGGCAAATTAGATTGTGAAGTTGAGGAGAGTGCATTATTAGCCTGTTTCCAGGAGGCCCGAGATTTATGAACTGATTGAGTGAGCAGTGTGCGGTGTAGGGGGCTCGGGGCTGCGCGGTTCTGATAACTTTTACGGCCAAGTCTCGGGGGCGACGTTGCCTGCCTGAGATAACTCCGTAACAGTTTTATGGCCTACGCTTGTTATAAATTAGGGTAGAACCTTGAACACAGGGAGGTTTGTAGACAAACATCATTTTAGAAAGAAAAAAACTGTCAGTGTTATTTTGAAGATACATGCATCACATTAATATTGAATTAAAAAAAAGTAACTCCGCATAAATTTATGCATCTATTAGTAATGTCAAGTTCGATTAAGAGTGAACAGAAATTGCAAGTAAATACGCAAATTTTCTAAAAATGTATTACCTTAAATGTTAA